ACTCTATCATCTGCAGTTACTTGCTCATTTACTCACTCACTCACTCACTCTTTTACTCATTCTTTCATTCAATTACTTTTTTATTCTTTCATTCACTGACTCTCTCACTCACTCTCACTCACTCATGTACTCACTCACTCACTAACTCATCTCCTCACACACTCACTCACTCATGCCCTCAGTCACTCACTCACTCATGTACTCACTTACTCTTTGACTCACTCTCACTCACTCTTTCACTCTCTCTTTGACTCACTCTTTTACTCTTTCACTGTCTCATTCTTTCACTCTTTCACTCTCATTCTTTCACTCATTCACTCTTTCACTCTCTCATTCTTTCACTCATTCACTCTTTCACTCATTCACTCTCTCATTCTTTCACTCACTCTTTGACTCTGTCTTTGACTCACTCTTTGACTCTTTCACTCTCATTCTTTCACTCATTCACTCTTTCGCTCTCTCATTCTTTCACTCACTTTTTTACTCTTTCACCCTTTTATTCTTTCACTCACTCTCTCTTTCACTCTTTCACTAACTCACTCTTTCTCTCACTCACTCTTTCACTCTTTCACTCACTCGGCCACAGTCAAGAGAGACTTAACTCGGAGCATAAAGGAAGGGAGAATCTGAGAAGAGCCCCACTGCTTGAAGGCACAAAGGAAAGGAACTGAATTGCTTGCGCCACTTGTCCATTGCGGAGAGGGAGGGATGGGCTAGGGGGGCAGGGGGAGGAGAGAGGAGGAGAGGGGGGAGGAGGAGAGGGGGGAGAGGGGGAGAGAGAGAGAGGAGGGAGGATAGGGGGGAAAGGGAGGGAGGGGAAGGGAGGGAAAGAGGGAGAGAGGAGGAGAGGGAGGGAGGGAGGGAGGGAGGGAGGGATAGGGGGGGGAGAGGAGGAGAGGAGAGGAGAGGGAGGGATATGGGGGGGGGGAGGCAGTGGGAGGGATTTGGGGAGGGAGGGAGAGAGGGAGGGAAGGAAGGAGGGATGGAGGAAAAGAGGGAGAGGGAGAAGGAGAGGGAGGGATAGGGGGAGAGAGGGAGGGAGGGAGGGAGGAGGGAGGGAGAGGGAGAGGGGGGGAGGGAAGGAGAGAGGGAAGGAAGGAAGGAAAGAGAGGGAGGGAGGGAAGGAAGGAGAGGGAGGGAGGGAAGGAAGGAGAGGGAGGGAGGGAAGGAAGGAGAAGGAGGGAGGGAGGGAAGGAAGGAGAGGGAGGGAGGGAAGGAAGGAGAGGGAGGGAGGGAAGGAAGGAGAGGGATGGAGGGAAGTTGGGAGGGAGAGGGATGGAGGGAGGGAAGGAAGGAGAGGGAGGGAGGGAAGGAAGGAGAGGGAGGGAGGGAAGGAAGGAGAGGGAGGGAGGGAAGGAAGGAGAGGGAGGGAGGGAAGGAAGGAGAGGGAGGGAGGGAAGGAAGGAAGGAGAGGGAGGGAGGGAAGGAAGGAGAGGGAGGGAGGGAAGGAAGGAGAGGGAGGGAGGGAAGGAAGGAGAGGGAGGGAGGGAAGGAGAGAGGAAGGGAGGGAAGGAGAGAGGGAGGGAGAGAAAGAGGAGAAAGAGGGAGATGGAGAGAGGGAGCAGGAATGAGCGAGTGGGTGAGTGGAAAGGAGATGGAGAGTAAGGGAGAAAGATAGGGAGAGAGAGAGAGACGGAGGAAGATAGAGAGAGAGATAGGGAAAGATAAAGGGAGATAGAGAAGGGGGGAGGGAGGGAGATAGAGAAGGGGGGGAAGGAGGGAGATAGAGAAGGGGGGAATAAGGGATATAGAGAAGAGGAGAATAAGATATATAGAGAAGGGGAGAATGAGGGAGATAAAAAGAAGGGGGAGGGATTGAGGAAGATAGAGAGAAGGAAGGGAGAGAGAATGAAGTAAGAGAGATATTTTGAGATGGAAAGGGAGGGAGAGGGAAAGAGAAAACATGAAAAAGAGAATGAGAAAATGAAAAAACAGATAGGAAAAGATGAAAAACAATCAGAGCGGAAGAGAAAGAGGGAGACGGGGAGAGTGAGGCTGGAGACATGAAAGGGAAAAGACAAAGAGACAGAGAGGAAAGGGAAATTGTGGAATGTGAATTTTTTTTTTATATATCCATTCAGAGTTGCTTCCTTTTATATTTCCTGTATTTCTAGAGGTTTAAAATTCGGAACAAGAGCTGCCGAGTTCATCAAATACTGCGGAATTTGATAGAAAAGTGATAGATGAATTATATGACCGGTAGATCAGTATTGATGATAATGATGATGATTATAAAATAAGAATAACAGTAGCAATAATGAAAATAATGATGGTAATAATGGTGATAATATTGATAATGATAAATGATAATAACAATAATGATAATGATAATAATAACAATAAAAATAATAATGATAATGATAATAATGATAGTAATACCAATAAGAATAAGAATATCTCTTTTTAAATGGTAAAATGGCAAGTTCGACAACATTTGAGTTATTAATACTATCATTTCAGTCAGATGGAATTGGGCAACAAAACTCTCTGTAATCATAGAAAAAAAAACTAAAACTTCTGAACTGACGAGGGAAAGGGCATGTTGGAATTTGTCAAAAATGTTATGAGGAAAGTTGGGAGCTGTTTTGTCGGCTGGACTTCGGGAATGGGTTGATTTTTTTTCTTTTTTCTTGTGGGGAGGGATGATGCCTGGGTCTGTGGGTGTTTGTCTTTGTCTCTATATCACTGTCTTATGTCTCTTTGTCTGTCTGTCTGTCTGTGTGTCTGTCTGTCTGTCTCTGCCTGTCTCTGTCTCTGCCTGTCTCTGTCTCTTTCTGTCTGTCTGTCTCTCTCTGTCTGTCTGTCTCTCTCTCTGTCTCTCTCTCTCTCTCTCTCTCTGTCTGTCTGTCTCTCTCTCTCTCTCTCTCTCTCTCTCTCTCTCTCTCTCTCTCTCTCTCTCTCTCTCTCTCTCTCTCTCTCTCTCTCTCTCTCTCTCTCTCTCTCCCTTCCTTCCTTCCTCCCTTCCTCCCTCCCTCCCTCCCTCCCTCCCTCCCTCCCTCCCTCCCTCCCTCCCTCCCTCTCTCCCTCTCTCCCCCTCTCTCCCCCTCTCTCCCTCCCTCTCTCCCCCTCTCTCCCTCCCTCCCTCTCTCCCTCCCCCTCTCTCCCTCGCCCTCTCACCCTCTCTCCCTCGCCCTCTCACCCTCTCTCCCTCACCTTCTCCCCCTCTCTCCCCCTCTCTCCCTCACCCTCTCCCCCTCTCTCCCTCTCTCCCTCTCTCTCCCTCACCCTCTCCCATCCATCCATCCTCTTTTCCTCCCTCATTCTCTCATCTCCCTCTTCTTTGTGCCTCCCTCCCTTACCCCACCTTTTCCCATTTGCTTTCAGTTCAACACCTGAGTGATTAGTTGCAGCCCTGCCTTCCCCCTTTTGCATTTAATTTCATGATACTGATGAGCTGTTAAATTGCATAGGCTAGAGTCGTCCAAATTTTATTCGTTGGATGTCATTGTTTTGTTTGAAATGACGACTAATGCATTTCTTTGACCATCTTTTTTTTCTTTCTTTTTACAGATCATGGGGGTAGAGTTCATCTTCTTTGTACAGACCAACACACTTGATAGGAGGAACCGCACTCTTCATATTGAAGCTTATAATGAGAGCTTCTCCTCGCGAGTCACCATTCAAGAAAACTGCAAATACTCTGTGAGTGTAGTAGTAATTTACTTCTTTTCTGTGTTTGTGTGCATGTTTATGTGTGTGTGACTGTGTGTGACTGTGTGTGACTGTGTGTGACTGTGTGTGACTGTGTGTGACTGTGTGAGTGTGAGTGTGAGTGTGAGTGTGAGTGTGAGTGTGAGTGTGAGTGTGAGTGTGAGTGTGTGTGTGAGTGTGTGTGTGTGTGTGTGTGTGTGTGTGTGTGTGTGTGTGTGTGTGTGTGTGTGTGTGTGTGTGTGTGTGTGTGTGTGTGTGTGTGTGTGTGTGAGAGAGAGAGTGTGAGAGAGTGAGAGTGAGAGTGTGAGTGTGTGTGTGTTTGTGTGTGTGTTTATGTTTGTGTGTGTGTGTGTGTGTGTGTGAGTGAGTGAGTGAGTGAGTGAGTGTGTGTGTGTGTGTGTGTGTGTGTGTGTGTGTGTGTGTGTGTGTGTGTGTGAGTGAGTGAGTGAGTGAGTGAGTGAGTGAGTGAGTGTGTGTGTGTGTGTGTGTGTGTGTGTGTGTGTGTGTACACACATGTACATGTGTGTGTGTGTGTGAGAGTGAGAGCAAGAGCAAGAAAGAGAAGGAGGAGAGAAAGAATTTGCATATATAATTAGAAGAAATGAGACTTGAAGACCAGTCCTAAGAAAATGAAATCATGTAAAATTACTTTTTGTTCTCCTTTGTATTGTGTAACTTGTACCATCTTCTAGGGTTTAAAAAGACTTTTTTGCTGTTCTTTGGATTCTAGAAAATTTACTTTAATTTATTTATTGTGTTCACATAAGTACTTAGTTCACATATGTTTCTGGTATCAATAGATTAAGTTGAATTTCTCTTTAGCAGTTCTGATGTATATATGCTCTGTTTAATTTTCCCCCATTTTTTTCATTTGTGAATGAAAACGTTTTTCTTTGTCAACAGGTACACCCAGAAAATAGTGAATGGACTTGCTTCGAACAAACTGCAAGTTTAGATGTCAAGTCTTTCTTTGGGTTTGAGAGTACAGTTGAAAAAATTGCCATGAAGCAGTATTCCCAAAACATATCAAAGGTAATGTTATCTAAATACTTCCTTCAGACCTTCAAATAGTTTTTTCCTTCATTAGTTCATTTGAATTTATCTTTTTATTGATTTTCTGAATTTGTAGTTTCTTCTGCTTCACCTGACCACTTCATTCATCTGTGATCTAACGAGCCTCATCATCTTTATTACAACTGATACATAATTCCTCCCAGTCACAAGACACATATTGTACTCATGTGATGTGTTTCCTCAGGGCAAAGAAATAATCGAACACTTCATTGAAGTGCTACGCAAGGAGAACATCACGGAAGTCCCCAGATGGGTGGAGCCGACTACGAAAGCCA